TGACAAAGTAATGTCGAATATTCACGAAAATTAAATTCTTATCTTCAATATCATTCCAGATGAGTAAAATAGACAAGTCTTGATAACATCAAACATAGTGTAGAAAAATATGTTATTATTTTAAGAAACGTAAAACGTAAAATGTGATGTATCTTTATAATCAGTAAATACAGTTTTTGTAATAGATAAATAGAAATTTCAAAATAACAATGGTAATTTCTATCAGGTTAAATCATCTTATTTGTACTTTCGAGAAAGAAAATGGTCGTTTTTTTGTAAGTCTACGTCATACCAACGCTGTAAAGCTAGAAATCAGGTAGAATCAGCGATGCTTCGTAAGCTAGCTTGATACATTCATCAAATGAAAAATCCTGAGATTCACACCCACTGCTGTGAGATTCAACTACCTTGACCACTCGAACACAGAAGATGGAAAAGGGAAGACCAGAGTAATGTTCACCTATATAAACCAATATAAACAAAACCATGTGCAAATTTTCTGTAAGAAATTTATCCATTGAGTTTTACTTTATGTTATTTATGGTACTTTTATTGCTACTTTTTCGTGTACAACTTGCTGAAAAAGAATTGTATGCAAGAAAAAGGTTATTCAATATAAATTGTGCGACAGAACCTTAAGATTCTTAGGCACAATAAAGACCTTAAATGAAACAGACCTACTTTCTGACAAAATGCATAAATCACTGGATTTTTATCGGATTACACCTGTTTCTGTTGAGGATCAATTTTGATATTTGCATTTATTTTCAATATGTTGCTAAGTAATAATGTCATTATTGCTAAGTTAAGCTTCATTATTTACGACATATTTACTACTTATCAACTTATGATGAGTAATTTGAATAGGGTGTGTGCAGGCTTATGCCATTATTTAAAATTACTTAGCAACTAATTGTGCGTATAGTTCTAAGGTGTGTGTTGGCACATGACATATGTTTACGCCAAAACGACATGATTATTATTACTTAAGATTTATTTGAAAAGATGCCTCTGTTTCATTTAGGATTTAAGAAATAAAGTAATAACCATGCATTTTGTATGTCATTAAATGAACAATTTTCGGCTTTCTAAAATGAAACAAACAGTTTTGTTGAAGAATATTAGAACTAGTTTTAGGTTACTGTAAACAATCATACTGATTAAACAAATATCAAAAAGAAATGTTGTATACCATCGTTTTGAATGCAATTGTCTATCGATTGAACGTGTAGACTATTAGAAAAAAAGTCTAAGGTTTTATAAATGGTCTTGTTACTGACAGGAAAAGTAAAAATAAGATTAGATTTTACCATAATTCTTTTTAATTTTATAATTTTCTTCGCATAAACGATACATAACTCACGTGACATAAGGACATTTCTTTAACTATTCATCGGGATTAACTTGCTATATGTACTTGCAAATTATAAATAGGAGGTGTGCAGTCTTTTTATATTTCAAGCAGATCTATATTTTATTCTTAACATCTACCAATATCAACTATTGGTAAAACATAGTTATTGTTTACCAATCACCATTATTAAAGGCAATCTTTTGATTTAAGAAATAATATATCCCAAACTGTGATTTTATCGCTCAATAAACCACTGTTTGGAGTTTGGATGCGAGGAATTATATCACGAGGGCGTAGCGCATCCGAACGACAAACAGTGATTTTATCAAGCGATAACCGATTTGGATATAGTATTTCGATTCTTACACGACATTAACAAATAAATGCTACCACACCTGATATTTAGCTAAATTGCGCCCGATTAGTTTCCGTACTTATTTCAGCGCGTCGCATCTTAGAGGTTACGTCACATGCTACTGTATAGTCAATAAAGCACAACTAAACAATGGGAAAATGAGCATGTACACTAGCATTAATAATTTCAGTAGGACATTTACCCAGAGAGGATATTGGACATTATAGAATTGAGTAGTTTTCATGTATTCCAAAAAAAGTTTTTAAACTTAACAAAAACAATTTCAAAGTCATCAATGTTTCCAACTATATTATTACATTATCTCTTATTATCGTCTTCATGTAGCAAGTTATAAATGCTCATATTAGAAAATATTAAGTCAGAACTTTAGCACATTCTCATATACAAACGTCTTTGCAGCATTCATATAGATATTATCAAAAGACTTCAAATCCGTATTGTAAGTTTAAGCTTATTATTAAGCTAATTTATTCATTAGTACTTTAACATTACAGTCATTATCTTTTTCATGTGTTATACGTTTTCATTTTTATATTATTGTCAGTTGTAAGGTCTTATATAATAATAGATAAATGCAGTACTATACAATTATTGACTAGTTTGACATTGAATATCGCCTTTGGCCAAGGCATTATGACTTTCTGCACGTAAAATTTAACATCATATTCAAAGGCACTCTAGTCAATAATTGTTTTATTATAATTATGAAAAGGTTAAGAATTAAAATAAATCACAAAAATACAACCTTAAACAACGTTTGCCTGTTTCGTTGAAGCGCGGGGAAAAGAGGAACGTGTCAGTCTTGCAACGACCACGCGAAGACTGCGCACACCAAGGTAATTCAATTCTATACTCACAATTGCGGCGTAATCTTTAACTATGAAAGTAAAGTAAGTATATTTTAATCGAGAAATATGGCTTTAAGAAGAAAACGCAACAATTATTTTTAATGCGTTATTAACAGTCTACAGTGTATGGTCATTGAATATGAGTCTCAATCTATTTTCACACTGGCAAACTCTAGTTCATGCAGTAAATATAATACTGCACCTAGTGAATATGATTTTTTTTCAATATAATAAAGGGTAATTAATTTTTTTGCAAACTGAATTGACAAAATATGCAATGTTCAACAGTAAATCCATGGAAAAGTCATCTCAGCGCTATAATATTCGACGGTGGGTATTATGATAAGATAAAAGAGTTGCGATTAACAAGATTATCTTCACTTACTAAAAAGGACAAAAAAAAAAGATTTGCATTACTATAATTTTGCATATATTTTGACATTTTTATTTGATAATATTCGTAGTTTTTGTGTGCCGTTGTCAATGTATAAATTACTTTCGTTGTTCAATTGACAATCATACTTTTAAATAGATTTTAAATTATATATATTATATAATTTTCATGTAAATAAGCATGAATCAGTGGGCGACTTGCTCTAATGGTTTTGTGAAATATATCAACTAGATCGCCAAACGTCTCTTACATTTGCTTATTCCACGCACAGACGAAAGGAACGTAATGTCATAATAACTTTTAATGTACACATTTGTATTTACTTCTTTTTCCATAAAGGAATTACAGAACTATAAATGTTTCATAAAACATAAAACACTTTTTTAAACCTTAAATGTATAATTGTTTCCCTAGTTAATATTTCATACCAAATATAAGAAAGAAAATCTATTAAAGGATCATTTTGCCAGATTATTTATTCTATACCAATTACTTACATCCAACCACTTTTTATGAATTATGCTACGTGACCATTCAATATTTAGTTTACTAAGTATTGCATTATCATATGATATAAATATTACCAAGTATGACATTATCATCTTTTATGAGTATCACTAAGAATTACATTATCCTCTGTTCTGAATAGTACTAAGTATGACATTATCATCTATTAGGAATATTCCTAAGAATGATATATTCATCTGTTATGAATATTACTAAGTATAAACTCATTATCTGTTCTGAATATTACAAAGTATGACATTATCATTTGTTATGAAAATTCATGCAAATAATAGATTTAAATTTTGTTTTACAGGCGGGCGTTTTATTCATCTTGTGTCGGGGTAAACAAGTATCATTCGAGACCTATTAGCATTATCTCAAAGCAACTGCACCTGAAAATTGGTCAACACAGTTTATCTTCAACCACTGGGACTATATCGTGTGACATTTATATGAGTTGCGTGGGACAAAAACTAATACAACAGACGGTCCAGATTTGACTTTATTCTATACATTTTTATGTTTTTCTGAATTGGCAAAAACTATAAAGTGCTGAACATTTTTTCTAAGGAACCATTTTATGTACTGGTTCTCGCTAGAATGAGCAGGCTGTTCAGTTTCAAACAAATATGTTGACATATTTCAAAATTTATAGTAGAAAATAAAACTTGAGGGACCGTCTTTTGTATTTGTTTTTATACCCACGCAAAACACAAAAAGTCACACGGTATAGCCATACAATACTGATCTTCGGCGGATACCACATAGAAATTTGCTATATATAATTTTAAAATGACAATAAAAACATTATACGAGATTCATGTCATATCATTACAACTTCATGTAAACAACACCGTTTTCCTCATTTAAAGCGTTACTTGTTAAAATCTCCTACACAAAATGTTTAAAAGCGCTCTGTAAAATGTAAATGTATCATCATTTCCTTTCTGTGTAGACATTATTCACAGAATTAGTTGCCTGTAGAATTTGAAATACAGTGTATTACGGACTGACTGATTGTTTAAATATATGTATTTAAGATACTATTTTGACATGCTTACCGAACATTATAATAGTCAAGTTTAATTACGCAAATAGTTTGCTCGTTTAATGTGCGGCCTCATAAGTGACATTAGTTTTTATTTTCTACAGTTTCAATGCCAAGAACAAATGTAGATTTTCTTTGACCGAGTGGTTATATTCGATACATTGTATCACTTGGCCCTAACTGCTGCAGGTTAGAAACCTAGTAGGAACTGATTTTGGGTTATGTGACAAAACTATCTATACATTATCATAAAGTTAAGTTGTTTTACGTGGGTGTCCTGTTGCCCGTTAATAATGAAAGGAGGGTCAATAAAGATATTTCTCCATCGGTAAAGTTGGTAAGTCGACACATAACAAGTGTTGGAGTAACTTAAGGCCCTAACAAATCAATGAAATAAAAACAACAATTCCTGCATTGCACAATACAACGTTTATTGTAAAGGAAATATGTTATAAATGCTTAACATATTTTAGGATAAAACTTTATATGTTCAATAAAAAAAAACATATCGTCAAACATTCCTTAATACAATTGTTAGTAAATGATTAATCATATTATATGTTTATATAATATCATGTAAACAATAAATTGATAACACTTTTGTTAAAGATATACTATGCTCATCCTTTAGTAAAAGACATTAATACATGTAATATAAATATATGAAACATTTACTTAATATATCTTATTTGAATAAATATATCTTATTTGAATAAAAGAAAGAATAAACTATGTATGGAGAGCTGTGTTCCCTATCACAGGCCTTATATGACACTATTATATATTCATATATATAGACCATTTATAGTGTGCAGAGTTTTACACATAACATATCTATTGTGTTGGAAATCAAAACAAATACATAATTATTCTATTCACAAAGAGACTGTGTAGCAATTGTCAATATTTTCTAAAAAAACACACTAAGTGTATTTCCCTCAAATATATAAATATAACTATATAACAAATGATGAGCCTTTTTAGGCAGGACTTGTTTAGTATTTTAATTATCTTTGTATTAAGTGATAAATTGCAAGCGAAGCCGTTTTTGTCATATAATTAATATTTATTTAATATCCGGTTATGGGAACTTTCCTGGGGGTATTTTATATCTAGTTTGCTAATATATACATGTAGTTATTTGTTTAAGAGAGATCCAGAAAAAGTATTCCATCCGTAATGTTCATTAATAGAATTAATAGATTCTAAGTGAGTTTGTACCCACACTTGTTCCGCTTTGTTTACCATGGCGATTGTGCTCACAGAACTACAACTAGTATCACTGTCTAACTTCAAACTGCTTGTTAACCGTGTACGTTCTTGATATATTTCGTAAATCGCATTTCCCTCATAACAAAACTGGACTGAGAAGAAATAGAGTCCAGTGTAGGGTGCAGTAAATTCCCCGGTAGAATTGTCGTAGCCTTCACCTTGGTTTGTTATGACGGTATCGAAGATGACCTTTCGCAATCTCTTATCTGTTTCGTTAGAAGATAGACGGGCGTTGAATCCAACAATTGGTAAAAGCGACTTGTCGTCTGCAGAGAAAAAAACAACAACAAAATTTGAATACCGTATGTTAGTTATTCGTTTGTAGCAAATTGACTTTTGTATAAAATTATATTACAGTATTACGAATAAATGCTTCAATGACTACTAATTATAATCTGAAAACGTTCTTAGAAGCAAACCCTACAAATGAAAATTTTCATATTCATGCAATCGATACGAGAATAAATATAAGTTTTGTTCTACAAAACAAGACACTTTTAGTTCTCGTAAATTTTTGCAAACTTTTCTAACTTCAAAATTTCACCCTTATTAATTTGTTGAACTCCGCCTGAACCTGTACTAGGAGACGTGGAAGGTAGTTTGAATTTTTCAGTACCGTCCGGAAACAGGCTCAATTGAAACGAGGCTGTAACACTTTCTCACTTTTTGATTTTTTTTAAACACTATTGCAAGAAAAATAACGAATATATCGAAGTCAAATATACAGCTGCAAGTATTATAGCAATTATAATAACTAAATTGTAAGCATTACGTTCATAGACATTGGAATATTTTGTTTGTGATTTTATATTTAGGAGTAATATTTCGAGCATAATGTCACTTGCTGCTTTTATAAAAATACAACGTTAGGTCCCATTATTTTAACTCGCTATGTTCTCCAAGATATTCACCATCTGCCCTAACCGTCACCGTTTCAGTCAGTTAATCAATTTCTAAAGCACAAATCAGAGTTTGCAATAGAGATACTTTATTATAGACCCTGTGACATTTATGAATTTTTCTAGAATGACTATATTTAAGTTTTGGAAAGAAGAAAAAGTCATGTGGGGTCAGGGGGAGGGGGGGGGGGTGTTAATTCGCGGGTAAAAAGAAGAATATCGGAGCGAAGTTACTTTCTCAGACGCTTAAATCTTGGTCTCGCACTACCATGTAATCCCGAGTCGGGGCGACGTATGTGTACTTTTAATCTGAAAAACATTTCTTAAGAACTTGCATGTAGCCGTCTGTCTTTAGAAACGGTGATTTTAAGGACGACCTGTCCTAGCAGCACCTGGAAGCTTTATTTGCCTGATTCGAAATTTAGCTACCATCTTTCATATAAATACTCTATGAAACATTCGACAATCCCCTCAAATGTCGAACGTTTCACAAAACAGCGACGTTCCATCAACATTGACCTTATTTCAAATGCATTAGGATTATTTTGCCAATCAAATTTTGTAGTGTTATGAATACATTGTAAATACATTGTACGGCGTCAAGAATTGTAAGTAAAAAGTAGTTCATTCGGCATAAATTGTGCGACATAATCTTTTGATTCCTAAGCGCAATTAATACTTAAAATGAAACAGATGTGTTTAAAAAATTGTGTATAGACATAATGCATAAATCATTGGATGTTTATCAGATTACACCTTTATTCTTTTCAGGACCAGCTTTGATATTCACAATTTTTTCCAGTTTTGCCAATTGATAAAGTCATCATTGCCAAGTGAGGCCTCATTATTTATTTTATAGTTATCTCATCAACTAATTATACGTATAGTTTCTACTCTTAAGGGCGACATATGCCATATTCTCTAAATCAAAAATTATCATTATAGAACAACATTTATGAAGAGATCCATCTGTTACGCTCAGGGGATAAGAAATGATGCAAAAACTATGCCTTAAATATGAAACAAACATCTTTCTTGTAGTACAACAGGCTATTTTTACGTAACTGCAAACAATCAAACTGCAATAAAAAAAATCAAAACAAATATCAAACTCGAAATGTGTCCATTGCACACGGGTGTCCCCACACTCCACTATTTGTCAATTTTATGGCTATAGGTTAAATATATTTTGGTCTAAATATGCCACAAGTTGAAAACTAAAACTCTTTTTCTAAGTAAAGGGCAAGATCTTTACAAATACTGAATATGCATATCCCAAGTTGCATAAGTACATGTGCTGACCATCATTCTTGTAAACTTTCAGACGTACAGGTCAAATACTTTTTGAGCTCTGCCTGAAAAAATGAAAATCGCAAACTTATATTAAGGCAAGGGTAATAACTAAAACAAAGCTGAAACCCAAGGTGCATAGCTTCACGGCGATGTTGATAATTATTCCTGTTAAGTTAGTTGATTTGTAAATCACTCTAGAAACAAATAAAACAACTGAATGGAACGGTTTTTACTAGGTCAAGGACAATAACTCTTGATTACTGGATAAATCTACAAGCAAAACTAACGTTGCACAACTTCACATGCTACGTTTCATGACTCTAGATTAAATGTTGTTTGAGCTACGACAAAACACAAAAATAAATCAACAAGCAAAACCCCCGGTACACTATCATCATTCTTGTAAAGTTTCATGACGCTAGGTTAAAAACTTCTTGAGTTTCGTTCGACACAAGTTGTAAATTGCATATTTTTACTAAGTAAAGGGCAATAACTCTATAGATATTAAATAAATTCACATAAAAATACCCAGGGGCACAACTACACATTCTTATTAACATTTCTGTTAAGAAAGTGTCATGACCCTAGGTCAAATACCTTTTGAGCTACATGCGACACAATCTGAAAATTGCAATTTTTTACTTAATCAAGGGCAATTACTCTGACAAAACAAAAAGAAATCTATAAGTGAAACTGTAGGTGAACAACTTCACAAGCTGAGCAACATTCCTGTAAAGAGTCATCGCTCTAGGTCAAATACTTTTTGAGCCACATGCGACACAAAGTAAGAACGGACGGACAAATGGACGGATGGACCGACGACAATGGTAAATCTGATGCCCCGCCCCCTATAGTGGGGGGCACAAAAAATGTTGTATATCTCAAATTTTTGAATGCAATGGTATACCGAGTAAACGTGCGGACTAGTTGAAAAATCTGAGTTGTTATCACTCGTCTATAAAGTGACATTATGTCTATCGAAGTATATACAGTGTATGGAAGTCAATATAAGTTTGAATGTTACCGGAATTCATTTCAACTTTTGAAATTACTTCAAATGAAAGATAAAATACTCTAGTTTGAAATTTCTGTATTATATATAGGATTTTGCCTGTTAGTTCAATATAAAAAAAGACAGTCTGTCTATATTTCAAGCAAATGTTTAGTTTATCCTTAACATTATCCAATATCAACTATTGGTCAATCACAATAATAGCAGACAATTGTTAATAAGTAGTCTACCTTAGTCACCCGAGCGTCGGCGTAACCATTTATGTTTAAGTTTTTGTAACAGCTCACATATTTTCAATTTTCAAAGGCATTTGGCTTTGAAACTTTGCACAATTGTTCACCATCCTGCTCCAACCTGTAGACAGGACAGGGGGGGGGGGTAACTCTATCTAGCATTTTGACAAAATTATGCTGCTTTTTCGACTTAAAATTTACGTTTAAGTTTGCATAAAACCTCAAAAAATTTAAATGTCCATTGACAAATGGCTATGAAACTGTGTACACTTGTGCTTAATCATCGTTCTTTAAACCTGTAGACAGGAGGAGAAAGCTCTATCAAGCATTAAGCCAATTTTGGACGTAGAATACACGTTCAAATTTGCGATCTAATTCAGATATTTTTATATCTAATTGACTATTGCTTTGAAAGGAGTTGAGATTTTATACTACTTTGACAGCATAATAGGACTCTCTGCAAGACCTTTAACTGTAACATGGATTTGAAAAAAATGGCCCGTTTTTGAACTTAGAAATTTTACATTATCAATGCTCTTTTACTGTCCCACCTACGATATAGTCAATGCAACTCATAATCATCTAGATCTGAGATGTTGTCAACTTTTGGTAGGAATGTAGCATTTTACCTTAGAAATAAAAAGCACACTTTTTTAATTCATATAATAATAATAATAATCTCACTACTAGTATTTTAAGAATTCCTCACTATCTTGAATGTTTGAGGAATAGTCCCCAATAAATTTCAAAATTATTAATTGACTCTGGACAACTTTGTAGTGGAATTTGATTTAGAAGGATGATTTTAAATGGAATGGCAAAATAATTGTATAATTGGCACATAAACAGTTATAATTGTTCATGCGCGCCACAAATGATGGGAATATAAAACATATGTTTTCAAGTTCCCACACTGGAAGTGTTGTAGTAACTCTTGATGTTACTGTGAAGTCACATAAAATAATAGTTTCTTGGGCATAAAATGCCATGGTTTTGTCTATTAGTAAAAAGAAATTTTCGTGTTTTCTTTTAATCTATGGAATGTCTGTTTTAGCAAATCAAAGTGAAATGCACATAAGGTTGTGCAAAGTAATCTTATAGCAGACGAAACATAATTTCATTTGATCATTTAATGATTTTTCAAGAAAAAAAAATGAAATTGATTGATCATAATGATTTTGCAGTAATTTCTCTTCAACCTGAATAAGGAATGATTTTCAAACAACACTATATTTAATTTCAAGTATGATTTTTTATCTTTAAAATGTTATGCACTGATCAACATGGGCACTTAAAATGGAAATATATATAGAAATATACTAAGACTTATACAGAAAATTGATTTTAGAGAAAATTTTAGACCGATTTAAGTCTTATTTTTTCTGTTTTTAGTACATAAATTTTGCGCAATAAAAGTGATAACTATTGAAAAGGATAAAGAGCATCTTTTTTAATGTTCTGAAATTTTGTATAGTGTATTGGTATAGACCTTAATGAAATGGTATAAATATCTCGAAAAAAAAGGTTCTGACCCAGTCATGTCAAAGAATACCTCAGTTGAGTCACCTTAATAAGCACTGTCATCTTAGAATAAATATTTTTATAGAATACCTTTAATTGCCGATATTTCTTGTCTGAGTTCAGCGTGCTGGATTTTCAAGTTGGCAAAGTCTGTTCGAAGTTGACGCAGAATTACCATTAAAACATTCAAATCGTTTACTCTACAATTATCATTGTTTGCAAGCAACACATTCAAGTTACCAATGATTACGAGTATAGAAAGAAGAAATTTCATTTTTTCAATAAAATTTAATATTTAAATGTCCGCATATAATCAACAACAACAACTTCTGTTAATAAACTATTATTACGTTGGAGTCTTAATGTGTCCCTGTTAACAAAACAGTCTGAAATGTTTTAACTAAATAAAGATATATTGTGTTTACGTTACAGGTAATCAGTTTTTCCTTCTATCACTACACTATAATTATCATACACCTTCTAAAGAGAGCCCACATCATATTCTATTAAGTTTTATCAGAAGATAATATTAGTGCTCTGTATGCAACCATCTCGTATGAGATAGAGAGATAAGATGTAAAGAAGCTTTACAGCTAGCTTCAGGGAAGTTTGGCGGTAAAATTAAAGTGCCTGCCCGTGACTGAAATTATGTCCGGAGAGGGGAGGGGGTCAAGATATGGTTCTTGAATTAATGGGGTAAAGGTATTATTCTTGAATTAAAGTAGTTAAAGAGGAAATTATGTCTCTTTAAATAAAATGAGGTAAAGACATGGTTCTTGAATTTAAATGGGGTAAAGGTATGATTCTTAAATTATAGTAGTTAAAGATGAAATTATGGTTCTCTAAATAATGGGGTAAATGTATGTTTCTTGAATTAAAGTAGTTAAAGATAATGATATGGTTCTTGAATGAATGTGGTAAAGTATGGTTCTTGAATTAAGGTGGTTTAAAGATAAAATTATGGTTCTATAATTAATGGGTGTACAGGGATGGTCCTGAATTAAAATTGGTTGGAGATGAGGTTTATTATTAATGGGGTACAGGAATGGTACTTGAAATAGGGTAAGAATATAAATTATGGTTCTTTACTTAATGGGTACAGGTGTGGTTCTAAAATTAGAAGTGTTAAAAGATAAGGTTCTTTCATTAATTATGTGCGGATATGGTTCATGGATTAAAGAAGTAAAAGATAAAATATGGGTTTCTTTATTAGTGGGATACTATAATGATAAGAATAAGAAGGTTAAAGTATGGTTTCTTTTGATTAATGGGGTAATTGTGGTTCTAGAATCAGAGAGAAATAAGGATATTATATATTGAATTAATGAGTAAGGAATGGTTTTGACTAGAGGTGTTTAAGATGTAACATAGATAATAGTTTGGTAAATGAATAAGTTTGAAATTAAGTAGTTATAATACCGTTCTTTAATTTTATTAAACGGAAATGTTTGATTTAAGATTCAAGATAGATCTTAAGTAATAAGGAGGTTAGTTTTGAATTGAGGGTAGTACATTATGTAGATAGAATTTTAAATGTTATATAAATAGAAAATAAATGCTATTCATATTATACTATGAATGATAAAAATTGAGGAAATTTAAAATATAATTTAAAGAAAACATAATTAATATCTGTCACAGTGATATTAAGTTCCTGCTTTCAAATCTTCTATTCATATTTTTAATAATGATACTTGATATGGAAATTTTGCATTGCAGAAATGTATGATGATTTATCATGGGGTGGCCATTATTTGTCACCTTAGATATTTTACAGTGCTACTTTTCTGTTTTTTAATGACCCAGGCGTGCTATGTTGAAGAAATTTGGTAGATGCATTAAATTTACTTAGATGTTAAAAAATATCCGTTTTTTCACTTAACAACAATTTATTGAGACTTTCTTACAGACACAGGAACGGTTGTTGTCATTAGGACAGGGACGAATTCAGGGTACCTGACGAAACAGTTAAAAAAAAAAAGATGAAAGAAAGTAAATCTTTTTGATCTAGCACGGCTAGTACTTGTGTTTTCAATATGATTTCGAAATTGACGTAAAATTTTACTTCAGTATTAACACAACGAGATTGATAGAAGTCTTTAAGGAATAAGGGCTTAAATAATATGATTTAAACAAAAGCTATTTATGTGTGTTTTTTGCTTGCAACTGTAAATGTTTTATGCAAATTTTATATGTTTTGATGCCACATGAATTTTAAATTCTTTTTAGTTCGTATATCTGATTTTGTCCGCCATAGGAATATTAATACATCTATGTAAGTTGTGGGAAGCAATCAATATTGCTTCGGATTATAAGGCCTGGGCTTTCTCGGCAGTCGTTGTTTAGTTGATAGTAATAATCTGTGTCCATAACAAGATTTAGCAGAGGTTCAATAAAAGATTCATCATCTTTTTTCTTTATATGCGAATATATACGTCTGGGTGACTGACCTGAGGTTCCAGAATATATACAGATTCATATACCCCCCTGCAATTGCAATGTGATACTGGGATTAAAAATAGTTTCTCAAGTGAGCACTAATTCATGAATTTTTACACGTAGAATTCATGAGATGCGATTTGCTACTGATGACCTGATATTTTAGCTATGACAGAAACTATATACTGGTTACTCGAATTTTACGTACTGTAGTTTGAAGATGTTCAATCTTTTCTAAATCATTTCTTAAGTTGAATATTTGTCATATTTGCTTGATGCTAAGGAAATGACAATCGTTGAGGGGTGGAGTGATTTGAGTTTTGCTTGAAATCTAAGTTTTGTTAAAGAGTTAAGTGTTTTTGCCTGAATCAACAACAAATAAGTTCCATTTGGTAGAGCCATACTGATATACTCACACTTATACGGTTAATTTTTCGATGATCGGAACACTCAGGGATTGGCTCGCGCTTTTATTTTATCACTTGGCGTCAATCATGAGGATACACTTGTTATCATGCTAATGGGTGTATTCAATGATTTTGGTTATTTAGATGGATAAGACCCCATGAATAACCTAAATTTATTTTCAAAATATTTATCTGTATTTGTATATTCCATTATTAATGGGAGCAGGGTAAAATGATAGAATGATTGTAATTGTTATCATATTCAGTATTACAAATAGATAATGTCAAGGTAAGTAATTAAATTTTTAATATTAATTTTTAGTCGCATGCCGTGCCTATCAAGCGCTAGGCGCCAGGCGCAACTTCATGCCGCAGACGGTGTACCTATAGGCGCATTCACGTACGCATGCAGCAGAATCACATCTCAAGGCTTCAAACCTTTTGTTATCTAATATATTTTGATAAATTGTATTTTTTAAAGGAATTTGTTGAGTTCTGTTTATTACTTCTTCATTGTGATATTTTTCTTTTGATAATTGTAAGTTGTAAGGCCTTATACATGCAAAATTATAAATAAATGTAATGCGAGGCAATTATTTGTCCGCATAAATAAGATGATGATTTCAATATTATTTCTTATGTAATACGTTCTTTAAAATAGGAAAAAGGAAAAAAAATATGTGCAATATTCAACAGTAAACAATATACCAGAAATGTCATCTCAGTGCGTGGATATTTTGCTTGCATAACAGTTGTTGAGATTGATTTTAAACGATATTATTTTCAATAACAAGGAAAAGTTACTCTGACATTGTGGTCCCGAAAAATCTTATCTACAGTTTTAGTAGTTTATATAATAACCCATTATCGTTAATTATTACGCATGACGTACTCCAAGCTCCGACAGAAAGGGTAGTTATGTTGTAATGTATATACAACTTTAAACGTTAACATGTTGGATTTTCTTCCCCTTTCATAACTATAAATGTTTATAAAAAAACTTTTTAAACCTAAAATGTATGACAGTTTCCTAGTATATATTTTTTTTTTTTATACCAACTACAAGAAAGGAGGTATAGTCAAGGACTATTTTGCAAGATTAATAAAATAACTTTATTTATTCTATATCAGTTATATACATCTAACCACTTCTTATGCATTATATCACGTAACAATTCAATATATTTAATACATACTTGACACTTATTAGATCTTTTAATTAACATGTTTCACGAAGGTTGTGGTTTTTTTTATTTCCTATCAAACCCAATAGCTTATTATTTTTAAAAAACTATCCGGACATGAAAGTTATGAAATAAAGTTTTCAGTTAATTTAAACTAATTTTATGAGCACTAACAATATTATTTCGTTGTAAACCTTGTTTAGAAAAGCGGAACAGAGCATAAAGTCGCTATGTCCTGAAGGCCGTCGTAATCAGTTTGACTTCCTGTAAAATGTAAAGGGAAGAACCGAATATAAGAGAATTTCATAGGATATTTAAAATTAATAAATGAATTGGAACTCTTGTCATATGCTAATAAAATGTAGAATAGTTCTTGCCATTTCATTAAATAAATATTTTGAGGATGGTTTCAAAGATAAGATAATCTTGCCATAAAAAATTAAATTGTACGATAGTTCTAAAATAATTGGACAGTTAAAGTCTTTACTTTCCAGTTAAATTATGTCAGATAATTTAGTGTGTATAACACAAACGATTTAGCACTATGCGTAAGATCTATCCATGTTTTGTTAAAGTTCATTTTACTAAACCTATTGAGTTATTTTTATACGATATAAAGTGAGAATATATTTGTTTCAGAAGAAGAACTCATCTAAATTATAGTTAATGCAACCTGGAAATACAAAAGATACACGAACATCCGACTCACAGTGCCTTAGTGTATGATCGTTTATGTGGGTTGTAAATATATTTATCACTATGGTAATGTTAATTTGGATAATATAATTTTGATATTAGTCAAGTTATTATAAATTATGAATTTACCTAAGATGGTAAGATGTCGGGTTTTAAAATAATTCATAAGGGAAAAGATCATTTAGAACATATTCTTACTATCCGTACAGTGTTCAGCAAATAATTATTAACCATTAAATTTATTGTCAATTGTAAAAACATAATTTTTTGTTATAGAAGCAAAGTTTTTAATTTGTATTGTTGAATTTTAATTTGGCTTTTTACCCACAGACTTTCTCAGACTAATGTGGTGGGTGGGATATAGACCACTTTTTATGTATATCTATATTACAACAGTTGGTTTTGATTGTGAACCAATCGCGTTTAACAAAGTGTTTACAGTGGTTTTATATCTTTCCTTTTGAATATCACTTGTTGTATATATAACCGTTTATAAAAGGTTGTAAGATTTATACGATATTACGGTATTACCTTATTTCATTCCTATTTGCCAATAATTTCATATGTGATTCATTTCAAAATACTGTAAATATATGCTAATGGTAAAAATTTAAGATCAACGTGAAATCAACTACATAGGAGACACCTAAAATCAATGTAAAATTAGATAAAGTTTATTAACTTATTTGAAAGAGAAATATTTAATACTAAAGTTTCATAAAATGTTATTTTGGTTTCTTAGACTAACAAGAATTTTGTATGTATTGTATAGCAAGCTTCTAAATTATTATCTATAATGATATGAAAACGATAATAAATACATGTAATGACAGATATAAACATTTATCATATGTCCGAGGTTTATTAAGTGATACCATCTTATTATAATTAAAAAACAGATATTACTGATAAGCCGTCATGTAACTGAGTAAAAATACCGATATGAGTTTTATAAATGTTGAAAGTATTTACGTAATTAGACGAATGGGTTGAAAATAAGCAATATTTTACAAATTTTATATATAATTACAGAAATAGTTGCCTGTGAATTTTGTTTAAGAGTAACATTTTAATATGTTTCTGAGTAATGAATAAGTAAGTAATTACTAGAAGTATACTTAGTACACTAATCATTGAACATTTGTTTTTATTTTCAAGTCAACAACGAAGTGGTTTAGATGATAAGTGTTACTTGGCCTAGCTGCAGGTTAGAAATAGTTCGGGCTGATAAATTTGTTTTAGTAAAAGCTATATTAATTATAATTGCCATGAAGTAGCTGTTCTGCTGGGGTACTGTGCGTTTCTATGGAAGGGGGTTCGATAAATTTTTGCAGCAAGTAAGCTGGTTGGCGACAACAGTAACCATGTTAGTGTAAGCTTAAAGCCAAGAAGGAAAAGGAATAAGAACAACAATTTAATATCTTTACATAACCAGAGTGACTGAAATGACATGTTATAAAGATTAAATATTTTTGTTTTAGTATGAAACAACGTACGCGTTCAACTTCTAAAACAAATAAATATTAATTGATCTTAGTAATACTAGGGCTGGAAGAATAAAGGATTGGATGTTCGAAATATTCGTTTTTTACAACATTTGTTCCGATTTCTTTTGGAGTTATATCCCGAATTGATTGCGTGATTATACTACTTTAACATGCTTGAATATTGTCGATAAAAAAAAGACTTTATGCTAGTCAAGTTTATTTTATTTATATTGTTAATGGATATGTTTATTTTGAATAAATTCATAATTTGATTGTCTTTTGTTCGTTAACCGACCCTGTACTTATCAGCCGTGGAGGTAACTCCGTGAACTGCTGAACAGTAATATATGATGTGAGAGCTTTAACCAAATTTAAAACACATATTAAATAATTAGGATTACTTGTATAAATTTTTAATTGTTAATTTTGAGATATAAGTTTTAAATATCTTTTTAAATATAGACGCAGTAATGTAAATATCACACGGAGTTAATGTATACGGAATAATATATTCTGACGATTTAGACCTTCCCTGCTTTCATAACGCGATCGATTAAGCGGTGCAGATTTTTTTCTTATCAAAATTATAGACATTAGATCATTCAGAAAGATTATAAGAAAATAGGAAAAAAATTCGGAAAATTTGCATATATAACGTAGAATGGTTTAACGGTAAATTGCAAATCTGTGAAGAGTGCACTTTTTCACCCAGTTATTGCGATATGTTTGAAGCGTAATCAATATTTGAACTGTAAAGGAAATGGGAAAAGGTTTATTTACGAATCTTCATTGAAATTTGAAAGATGAAAAAATAAAATTGTCTTTTTTCGATATTGATTCGTTTTCATAGTCGATTCGAGTGGTTTTCGAATTTCGAATATAAATTCCGGCCCTAAGTAAAAACGTGGTACCATGATCATCTCTACAATAAATGATGACATTTTTAAATTTGAAGGTAAACTATGCTCATACTTAAGTAAAATATTCAAATTACAGAAAATTATTGAAATCTATGTAAGTCTTACTATATATCTAAATATGTCTTGTTTAAGATAAAAAAACGAATAAACTATACAATGGGAAGGTTTGCGTCCCTGATGACAGGGTGTTTTCTAAAAGAAAAAAAAAAAACAACGTTTCCTTAAATGACGCAGTCTATATATTTATATCGGTTTATCAATATTTTCTAACATAAAAATAGAGCATAGTATATCTTTAAATATCACACTTTTCATCTGCAAAATAAGAATAAGATGCATTGATCAGATATTTCCATTAAAACAAATCGATTGGTATTCTGGGTGGCATATATCAGATTGAGAATTAATTAATAACATTAAAGTGTAACAGTTACACAAAATGGAAGTATTATTAATTATTCGTAGCTCACGTTGCATGCTTGGCGTCATTTTTCCGTGTTAGAATAAATTATCGACATATTGTCACTTCTGAGTGCGTTATATAATTTATACCTATGTGTTTCGATAATCATGTCTTTTATAAACATTTAGAGATTATAGAAATTCAGGAACAATATTTAAAAACAAGTGCTTTTTCACATCAACATGCATAACAACCAACACAAATAAGCAAAAAAAAAAAGTAAATTATTTCGCAGATAGTGGTTTCCAAAGATTTGTACTAATTAATTGCTATTAAGAAGATTTCTGTTGATCAAAGAAATTATAAAGATGATCAAATAAAAAGGGAATGGTTGTAGGATTTTCTCAGAAGAACTCTAAGTTACTTTAATTATACACATAAACAATATCGCTACAGTGTGTTGAGCCTTTTCTAGGCACAACTTAGTTGGTATTTTAATTATCTTGATATTAAGTAATAAAATGCAAGTGAAACTATTTTTGTCATACTATTATTTTCTATATCTGGTTATGGGAACTTTCCTGGGTATATTTTATACCTAGTTTTGCTATTGTATAGTTATTTGTTTAAAAGAGACCCAGAAAATGCATTCCATCTGCTACTATCATTATAAAACACTGAGGTGGATGTGCATTGTACCCACACTCGCTCCGCTTTGTTAACCATGGCTATAGTGCTCACTGAACTACAACTATATTCATTGTTAAAATCTCGCTGCGTACTTCCTGTTAACTGTTTACTTTCTTGATATATTGCGTAATAAGCAGCCTTATTTCCCTCGTAACAATCATGGGCTGAGAAGAAATAAAGTCCAGTGTGCGGTGCAGTGAATATTCCGGTAAAACTGTCGTAACCTTCACCTTGGTTCGTTATGACGGTATCGAAGACAACCTTGTCCCCTCTGTTTACTGTTTTTGTAGAAGATAGATGGACGTTGAATCCAACAATTGGTATAAGAGACTTGTCTGCAGAGAAACAAGATAAAAAGTCAAAATCGTACATAAGTTATTTGTTTGTAGTTAATTCACTTTTGTGTAAAATTATATTAGCATATACTTAGAAGAAATGTTATAGCTATCAATGACTTATAATTACAATCTTACAACGATCAAAGAAACAAATAAATTCTACAAATAAAAGTTTTGATATAATCGATAAGAAGATAAACACAAGTTCTAATCTTACCTAACAAGACTTTAAATCGGAACAGTAATGCTAACAATGTTGTATGATTGCCAAAAAATAAATAAAAAAAATAAAATAAAAACAAAGAAATAAACAAATAAAAATTAATAAACAAAAAATATAATAACTAATTGTTGTACGAGTATATACACGTATCCCTGATAAAATTAAATTAGTTCATGTGAACATTAGCGGATGTTTCTAAATTCAACATTTTACCATTTCATATTAATTGGTGAATTCTGCCTGATCCGGTGCTAGGAGATGCGAAGGGTAGATTCCATTGTCAAGTACCATACATAACTAGACTCAATTTAACCGAGCATGCAACAATTTACATTTTGTCGTTTTGGAATTTCATTAGGGATTCTTTATTTCTTGCTATTTCATTTTTATCACGTTAATATAATATTAAGAAAGACAATAGTTCAAATACAAAAATAAGTTTATAGCAATTATAGCCTAAATGTTAGCATTACGTTTTTAGAGATTGGAATATGTTTAGTGATTTAACATTTACGAGGGATTTTCCAAAGACAATGACACTTGTTTAAAAAAAAACAACAACGTAAGTTCTAATCATTTCAACAAAATATTGATTATCTGCCCGACTAGATCTGTTCAGTTAGTCAAGCACATACCATTGTTAGCAATGGGGATATACTTGACTGTAGACCCAATGGTATTTCTAATTTTTTTCCAAGACCGGTAATATTTAAATTTTTGGAAGTAGAAAAAGTCAAGTGTGATCGCGGATGTGTTGAGTCTCGGTGAAAGAAAAGATAAAGTCGGAGCGCTCTTACTTGCTTGTATGCCATCATGTAAGTGACGTATAAGTCCTGATTCGGGGTGACGTATGTGTAGTTTTTATTGTAACAATATTTCTTTAGAACTTGCATGTAAACGTTATTCCTTCAGGTACAGGGATTTTAAGAACTATCTGTCCTAGCAGCATCAGAAAGCTTCTTTTGCCTGATTCAAATTAAGCTACGATCATTTAAATCAAATCAATCGAAAATTCAATCACCCTCTTAAAAATTACCTTTTCGCATTGCATATCTGAAGGTCGCATGCCGCGCAACGACGTTCCATCAACATAGACCTTATTGTAATCACATTAGCATTATTTTGCCAATCAATTTTTGTAGTGTAAAACAATGTACACATGTACATTGTATGGAGATCAATTATATCGTTATTAAGATATTTTTATTGCTACGCTTCATTGTCCATTCTATCAATGAGGTAGATCTGTGTACAACTTCCACGAATTATTTTCTGAAATAACGTACAAATTAATTTTTAATCATTCGTCGTAAAGCTTAAAATATTGATTGTTCTTTTCCATGTATCAATGAAAAAAACAGCTTGAAAAAACAATATCTACTAAATTACCTGCTTAAATTGACAGTTTGCTCTTTTCCTCGCTAAAGCTATCAGCAAACTCGACCATTGTGCGGTTGATACCACGACGGAACTGAAGTGCGTCATTTTCCATATTTCCAACTCTTTGGGACAAATCGGTCGCCATGGACATTATATTCTTGTCTTTATCTTTAACTTCCTCAATTATTTTTTCCATTTTCAATTCCATTCTTATATTTTTTCCAAAATTTTTCTTCATAGTCAATTTTTTGAACTATGGGGTTCTTGTTTTGTTTCTTTATGGGGAATGCCTATTTTTTCGAAATCAAACACAAAAAAATTAGAATTTGTTTTAAACATTTTTAAAGCTTTGTGTTTTGCTTGGCTGAAAAAAGTCGTGCAATTTAGAAGCAAAGGAACGCGTTTATTTTACTGCTCAAAGTTAAGGTAGCTTCATGGTTGGTGTAAACTGCTTTACCCCAAGAAAACAAAAAAGATGCTTGAACAAAACCAAATTTTTATCGAACTTAAAAAGCATTTTTTTCAAATTTTTGGGTTTTTGGGGTTTTTAAAAATAGTTTGTGGGAAATGAAAAATTTTTTATAAATAAAAGTCGAGTAAGATAGAAAATTTTATCTAATTGAGGGGAAAATATTATAATTTATTATATCAAATAATATTGTGCCTGTAAATTTTAAACTTTATATAATGAACATTTTAAGTATTGTTACATTCAATGAGTTTTATATTTTTTTTATTGAATTTGCACGAGTATAAGATTGTCGCTATGACGTTTTTAAAATTAGAATGGTTGACAGTCTAAATGATTCATTTTTTCATGAGTATATATTAGCCCATAGTGTTACGCTAATATTAGCGAGCTTTAACGCTATAAATGTGTTTGTATTTGACGTAACTGACGTGACGTCCAAATATTATCATACTAGAGTAATATCGTTTTAAATAAACCGCTTTATCACATACCCGTGCCGATTTTACGTCCGTAAAAATGGCATTATAAATGGTGCATATATTATGACGTGACGTCATTTGCGTTATACAAACATAGCGTAAAAGTAGTACAACACTAATGCACTATCTCCACTTTGAAGATTATTCAAAGAGGCTAGATTCACTGTAAAGTGTATTGGAACTGAGGGGCATGGGTTCAAACACCAGAAGGGGCAACATTGTTTTTATTTCTGTCTGTTTTCTTTTTAACATTTACTACATACCTCTCAGATTCCTAATGGAAGAAAAAAGTGTTTCATTTAATAATATAATTATTGTAGGTCTTAATTTACTAAATAATGCCAATTTAATAGCAAATATGATACCAAATAATTGTAAAGTTTGGTAAAAAAAAACTACACGGTAAAAGTATTTTATATTTTACAAAACCAAACAATAAATATTTTTGAAAATTTAGGCAAATTTTGAGAACATCCTCTCATTTTGGAAAATTTATGGGATATTTTATATAAGGTTTTTTACATAGGAAAATGATCAAATAAGTGTTAAAAGTAGGTGGGGTAGGACTACATTTTTATACAAATTAAAAACATTTTGTTTAAAAACAATCATTTTTCTAATTTCATTTGGTACGTAAATGTCATTATTTGTTTCTTAAAAATAAGCAATAGGATTTTCATAATGATGATATTATAGATTATTTAGTGTTTCCTCATTTCTGAAAAAGTCCCTTCTAATGGAAAATTTTAATTCAGAAAAATGTCCATAACTCATAAACCACACGGTAAATTTTGTTCAAATTTTGCATACAGGTGACATTATTTTAAGGCATTTAATTGTCCTATGTTGTCAATTTTACAATTCCTTATATTGCCTATTAGGGGTGTTCTACCACATTTGAACAGTCTTTGATGGTACATTTTTGTTTTGTTTAGGTTCATTACTGAATTTACTGAAATCGTGAAATAAAATAATATTTTGCTCGCCAGAGGCTTGCAAAACATAATTTTATACTATAATTACATTCCATAAATCCATTAGTTTATTCAGAACCTAACACATTCAACATCCTCTATTTATAACACTTCTGTATCGAAGTTTATGTTATAAAATTAATGTAAACTAATACACTTGACAATAACATTCAAATATGCATCTAACACCAATTATATTTGAAGTTGTTTACTCGTATAATTAAAAGGAAAATAATTTGTGATAGCTGTGTTTAATAACAGTTCTGTCGTATTCATAGTCTTTATTTTAACATGATTGTTTGTAAGAACTGCTTAAATAACAATGCGAAAAAATAAATTGTAATAAACAATGCGCTGAGGCACCTTTAATGTTGTTGACTTTGTGTTATTGTAAGGATGTAATTGAAACAGACTTTGTTTCATAACGTTCGAGTGCATTTATTATGGGTTGGTATGTTTCTTCAGCACAAATAATAATGATGATTACAGTCCTTTAAATCACTTTACCAGTACACAGTTCTATTATTTCTCAATTATACTTCATTCTTTTGATACTTTCATTACTTATCACTCGTTTGTTTTGGTGTTATTGACATGGAACACATTCCGTACAGGAAAACTAAATGCTTTTAATGATTTCTGTAGAATTTGTGCCAAGACAGTTACAGTTTTGTCGAGTTTTTTTCTAAAAAAAAAGTGTAGCAGATAATCAAGAAATACCAATGATATCTGAGAAAGAGATAATATTTTACGGCTTTGATGAAAATGACAACCTGTTTGCCACGGGGGAAAGCAATGCTCAAAATGCTTTTCAGGAGAATGTTGTACACATGTACCTCATCTGGATTCTAAATACTATGCAATGGAATCCAGCAACACATATTAAGATGCAATATTTTGTTCGAACGAGTCTATTACTTTGAAATCAAAGTGCATGAAACCAGTAAAGAATTTAAGTCACAGAACCATCAAAGTATCTGGCCAAAGTATTTGCGGAAGTCGAATTTATAAGCATGAATGTCGTAGAAATCATAGTCGTGACCGTGTTATATTGCAAATCATTAACGGTCGTAGTCTTAGCCGTACTCGTTGTTGTATAAGTCGTATATGTGTAAGTCGGTAAAGACGTCAGTGTCCTCGTCTTGCAACCGTACTTATTAACTTGAAATATATACTGATGGTGGTCTTTTAATAGCCGTCTTTGTCGTATTCCTTAAGGTCGAGGTTGTAGCTGTTGCCGTCGTATCTGTTCTCAATATCGTCGCCATAGCTGTACTGTTTATCATAACATGTATATTCAGAGAAATCGACATCATAATTGGGTGTCACTAGTGAAGTCGAACATGTACGTAAAGTCGTAGTCGTACAATGGCGCTAGTCATATTAATGATCGTAGTTTCCATTGTCCAAGGTAAGCAAAGACATAATGATGATAACCTAAAGATTTTAACACAAAAAAAAGATGTAGCATCTCGACACACATATATATATATATATATATATATATATATATATATATATATATATATATATATATATATATATATATTATATATATATATATATATATATTCACACATATCTTCACTTACGGGCCTATTTATAAGACCGAGTTGAGTGGCATTATTTCATGCAGTCAGTTTTTATATATGCCACTATGTAGGCATATAATGACATTTCCAAACAACAGAACTAAGGGTACTAAGTTATATATATCAACTATATATTTAATTTTACCATAGGTGAACACATATTGACCAATAACATAAAACCCCATTAAAAATATATACATTTGTGGGACATATATCATTTACTACTAAAACCGGCCTACGGGCACTATGTTAGAAGGGTAGCCTACGCCCCCATACATCGTTTTAAACATGCCAGAGTTGCGAGGCCTTATGTATGCCCCTCATTAAATATAAACCCCACAAGTATGGTCTCAAATAGACCGATGCCCCGTAAATGGAGGAATGTGACTGTGTATATATATATTGGAAGTTACATTCCAACACTAAATGTTGCTCTTTAGATCCGTTGCACGTTTAATGTACTTTAATTTTTTTAACTTATTATCAACGAAGGTTCACTGTGAAACTAAGTTACAAATAAAATATTTATACTTTGTTGGGATAATCTACTTTTTCTCAATAAACAAATATCACTAGAACTATCATTGGTGATATTAAACGTTGCTTTAATCTTATTATTCATATAGATCACCAGGAGAACCATTTCCATTCGAGGTAAACACCCCAGGAATTCATATCAAACTTCCATATTCTTCGTTCTGACACACACAAATATAAGTTACCTTATCATACACCTGTGAACATATTTGTTTAAACATTTATGCTTGTGTCCGATATTAAATCCAGTAACATTTTTTTTAAGCAGAAGATTGATTAATACAGATATCCCGTATTAATAAAACTGGGGGATACATTTGATAATTATATTGATTGAATGCAAATTTATGGTGGCTGATTTACGCCATGTCGTAAATTCGCTTCTTCTCCCCTGTTGCAAAAATACGAAGGGTCAACAAAATTGAATTAATGGTTTAACTAGAACGGATCGCACACGCTGCTACTGCATTTTGTGGGACCCTATTGTAAAATTCACTCGAGGTCCCGAACTAGATACATATTAAACGAAATCTTTTTTTTTTCTTTAATGTTTTTATTAGAGGAGAGATAATCGTGTCATGTTAAAATGTTTATAAGTAATCTTAGTTTTTCCCTTGACAAGTCAAGGTAATGCCTATAATTGTATATTTTATTGAGTATTTTCACATCATGTCAATGTCTATTTGAAACGCCTTAAAAGTCTAAGATTATGAAAATACGGTGTATGATGTACTGATAATGTTTACATGATATCAAAATAAAATTACCTGCTTGTAATATTGCTATACTTTTATCCTTGTTTTCAACGTTCAAACTTTAAATATGATAAACAAGCTTAAGATCAACAAGGAAGGCGGCGTTCAATGAACACAACCCCCATACAACCCAGTAATAAGAACAGGTGACAAGGAGGCCAGGAGGACCAAAAAAATCTGGGCAGCGCGCAAGGCAGAGTAAGGAAAGGCCTATCACTTAAATGATACTACTTTAAGAACCCAAAACAAATCACAGGCTTATCTATGCATCTTTTGTCGACAAAAAAGTACAAAACAATAGTGGAAGACACGCCTTTGACAGTTACCGTTTAACATTCAGTATGAACGATAAAGGCCCACACAATAATGACATGTAGTTATATGCATTGTCTAAATGTCTCCGAATAAAAGAGATACACAAACCGAGTTTGCAATTATCATGTAATTTTGCTGTCAAACAAAGTTTGATTGAGTCTGTACACGAGGGATAATGGAAATGTGCAACATCCCCTACGCCCCTTATCACCAGCATGAGCGGTACTCAATTCTCAACACCTAAACGTGCTGGAATTAATGATCTCGAAGGACCAGAAACATATTACAACACTGAAGTGGAGTATGGGGTAACTTTTTTAGACTGACCACAGCACTTGATACCCGCTGTTGCAACTTATCAATATTTGGAAAAAGTGATCGTCCGGAAGTATTAAAAACAGTAAAATTACATGAAAAGTGCAGTGAGTATATAAACGAGTATCTGTATCGAATTATATGTTTTTCTTTTGTTGGAGAGAGACTAAAAGTTTTATATATGAAAGATTCAGTCTCATGTCTCTTACAATGACTGTACAAGGGATTACTTGTTAATCATGTAAATTTAACGTACATAAATAATGGATTATTTTTATCTAAATGTATCAAAAAATCACAACATTTGAAACATAAAATAAACACAGAAGGGAGGCATTCAATGAAGGAGTCCCAGCAGAACAGGGAAAAGGACAGGGAAAACCCCAAAACCGCAAAGATGTCTTTTTTAAAAAAAAAATTTCATGGGAAAACCTAAAATAAAAAAATGCCCCAATTTAAAATTACAATAAAAAATTTAAAATACTGTACAACTTTCCTTTATTAAAATTAGTGGTTAATATCAGATATCGTCTTAAGATGCTTAACAATTTTGTATGTTATAACGACAATAATAGTATAAAATAAAATAATTGAATCTTGGCATAAACATAGAAGATAAAACAAAAAGTATATAGTTAAGATGTAAAGAAAACGGCACAAAATAAAAACAATATGTACTTTGTATGTATATGATATACCTATGTCATAGCTAATGAAGTATAACGGAGAAATTATGGTACTTCGTCCAAGCACAACAAATATAATTGACAGTCTATATAGCTTGTGTTTTGTAGAAGTAGGAGGTTGCAAGCGAAACACAATGTTTAAAGACTCAATATGTATCAGAAATGCTATAATTGTTATTCCTCTCAATCTTGGAAAGAAATTCCTCGGAAGAATTAATCACATCAAAATTACATGAAAATAGCAGACTCGGTTTTATTGAATTTGTACTTGTGAGGTAATGAACACAAACAACATCCCTTAAGCCCTCTAGCGCTATCCTCGGTAACCCATGCGTACACGTTACGTATACCCTTCATCGAATGTAGTTGAGCGAAATCAGTAACCGTTGGTTCAGAACATGACTAGCAACGGCTGAGCGGTACTCAAAAACATTTTTTTTGTACATTTGTGTATTTTGTTTAAGTTTAAAAAACATAAATATTTGCCATATACATAAATTTAATTCTCTTTTGCTGATTTTGTTATATTGGCGATTTATATAGTAATAGTTATTGTGTTTTTGTATTGAAGTCAATATACTTCTTTGTTTACATTTTGCTACTTTACAACACAGTATTGCACCTTCAGCTTTACTCTTTAGTTGTTAAACATCTAACATGCTCTTAATCCATTCTTAAAACATTTTCAAACTCATGTTTGACATTTCTTAAGAATTAATCAATATAGATTTCTGAGGCATAATGTGCCTTTAATATGATATAAACTTTGCCGACAACTGTTTTCAATTAGAGTCTTTTGGCGTCAAGAAATATTAAGGTTCTGCTTCACGTTTGTATACAATATTTGTGCACATAAGCCAAGGCACAGGAATGCTATAAATCCATTTAATATAAACGATATTACACTAGTGTAATAACACTTGACGTGACGTCCTTTGCGTAACATACAAAAAAATGCGTTAAAAAGAACTAATGTCTGCCCGTACGAAATTGACTCTTTTGTAACTGTAAACCGATCTTATTATAGATATAAGATGCCAATACTAAATTTATAAAACTCGTTCAATATAACAAAGGCTCGCATAATATGATTTTTATTTAACTTGTACAATAAATAGAGTATCAAATTACATAAATATATGCAATATTCCTGCCTTTCAAATACTACTTATTTTGTCTGTCGTCATGCCGATTTTTAATACATTTTGGTCAAATCTCGGCTATTTTGTTTGAAATTTCAAATGACAGGTTTCTGAAAAATTCAGATTTGAAGAACGAAGTAATAATGAAATAGAGCGTATTCTGCGCTTATTCTTTTGACAGTCGATATAATATTTAAAAAAATAATTTGCAGAAAACACTTTACAATGGACAATACAAAAAGTAATTATCCTTATAAATATATAGCTGTCCTATCTCTTGTTTTTGATTGGTTTTATAGTGTTTTAACACGGTAAAGGTCACATGGTGCCGAAAAAGGAAGATGATTTTGGCATACCTTGGGTGTTACAAACTGAAAGCAACACCAGGGGTCAAACCGCTTCACCTACTGGAACTAAGAGATGCGTTGACAGTTATTCGAACCAGTTCAGTCGCCCTTACGATCATGCAGGGTTAAATGGTGGTTGCACTCTGATGCCCCAACCCTTATTTTAAAGATTTTTAAATATAATAAAATGAAAATGTTTTAAAAATAATTTACCTAGTCCCAGACTTTCGCCTAGAAAAGATGTGGCGAACAACCTTAAGTCCGACCTACGCAAATGAAGTCGTGAGCATAAAGTGTTTATTTTCAATCATCTCTTCAATTGAGGAAGATTGACTTCAAATTTTTGGTTTTTTTTTTTTAGCTTATCAAGTAAAGCACCTTTTGAAAGGAGAAACGTTTTTGATTTGACAGGTTTTTAAAACAAAAAGGCTTTAAAATGTTTTTCGTTCTTCTTATATTTGTGAAAATTATTCTGATAACATCTGGGCATCCCAATGAAAATAGAAAAAACGATGAACCAATTTGTTCAAAATTTGACTATGAGGAAAAACTTTTAGAAAAAGTGATAAGATTGGAGATGAAAATGGAAAAGATAATAGAGGAAGTTAAAGATAAAGAAAAGGACGTTATGACCATAGCGACCGATGTGTCACAAAGAGTTGGCAATATGGAGAATAACGCCATTCAGTTTCAGCATGATGTCAACCAAACAATGATTGAGCTTTCTGATAACTTCAAAGAAGAAACAGCTAAGCTTAAAAGTTTAGCAGGTATAAATAGTTTTAATAATTTTAGTTTTAACTAAAAGTTGATTTTATGCTTTAATTAATGTTTGACCTTTGTACCTGGTTTTCATTTTCTTTATTTACCCCCCCCCCCCTCCTTCCTCGGGTCTCCTGTCCCCTTCCCTTGTGCCCTTTTATTTTATGGGCCTATTATTCAATCATTTATTTATTGTTTTCTTTTTAGTCCTTATCAGTTACTGATTGTTTCTTCTTATGTATGATTTTAGTGATTAACTTGCCCATGCTCTGCTTGTTTTGCGGTCCTCCTGGGCATTTTGTCACTAGCTCTTGTTGCTGGATCGTGTTAGGGTCGCGTTATTGGACGCCGCCTTTCCTATCATTTTTTATGTATTTACTTTATATATATACAAATTCAACTGATGTATCCATTTCAGATGATATACCGATTGAGACAAAATAAACTAATTTAGGAAAACATTTGAATTCGATTTATTAGAAAGACAGTCATTTTTTTTGTCGTCTGACTTCTTCGTTTTAATCACACTTAAAATGATCTGCATCACTAATAATAGTAAGTTTGATATTTATGAGTTTATCAGTTTATACAAGTAATTATGTGTTAGTCTCTTACTGAATATTCATAATGTTCAACACTGGTTCTTGCTTTTCTTTTGCAGACAAGTCGCTGTTGCCTATCGTTGGATTCAACGCTCTTTTATCTTTGACAAAAACTGTGAACACAGGGAACAAGGTCGTCTACGATACCGTAATAACAAACCAAGGTGAAGGTTACGATAGTGTTACTGGATTATTCACTGCACCGCTCACTGGACTCTATTTCTTCACAGCCCATGCTTGTAATCAAGGAAACTTGGATGTGAAGTACGCAATATATCAAGAAGGTACACTCACAACCAAAAGTATACAGTATGATAATGGTTGTTATAGTTGTAGCTCTGTAAGCACCATCGCCATGGTAAATAAGGCGGAGCGGGTGTGGGTACAGAGTTTAGACACCTCTGTGTATTACTCGGATTCATTCAGGTGGAACACATTTGCTGGATCGCTTTTGAACAGACAAGTGCGTTAATTCTATAAATAACCTTTTTATACGCCCGTTTGAAAAACGGGACGTATTATGGGAACGCCCCTGGCGGGCGGGCGGGCGGCGTCCAATTTTGTCCGGAGCATATCTCCTACATGTATGGAGGGATTTTAATGAAACTTCATATAAAATGTTCACCACTATGAGGAGCAGTGTCGCGCACATGAACCAGGTCTCTAGGTCAAAGGTCAAGGTCACACTTAGAGCTCATTGAAAAATGCTTGTCCGAGCAAAACTTCCACATGTATAGAGGGATTTCAATATTATTTGGCACCAAATGTTCACCATTGTGAGGCGGAGTGTCGCGTGCAAGATTCAGGTCCTTGCGGCCAAGGTCAAGGTCACACATAGAGGTCAAAGTTCAGATAAAAATATGAAGATGTGTATATGGACCATTTAGTCATCATTTATTGAAGGGATTGTAACACAAATGGTCATTATCAAGACTATGGCTGTGATACATATAATTTAGGTCAATATATACAAGGTCAAGGTCACTAAAGATGATGAAATATCCAGATTTTGTAAATAGAATTTAATCAAAGGGAGACAACAAAGTTTATTACTTTGTTCATAAATGACTTACACAATTACTCCCCTTGATCTTTTTTCACTTTCAATTCTAAAAATAGAATTTAATCAAAGGGCATGAAAATAATCCTCTTTCTTGGACTTGAGTATGTTCTAAAGAATGTAACATTTATTTACACATGTTTCATTCATTGGTCAAGATTCTTAACTGTGATAACTATGGTGTTCTGTAGACTTGGTATTTGTTCATAAAGATCATACAGTAATTACCTTATCAAATGTAAATACTTTCTCATAGAAATTTAATTATATTTTAATTTTCAAGTAAATATCAGTTCAGCTCATTCAAAGATTAAGAATTGTAATGAAATGTATTTCCCTAGAATAAAATCTTAAATCAGAATTTCTCTAGTTATTAAATTACATGTACTTTTTATACGCACGTTTAAAAAAAGATAAAAATATGAAGATGTGTATAGGGACGATTTAATCATCATTTATTGAGGGATTGTAACACAAATGGTCATTATAATGACTACGGATGTGACACATGTACTTTAGGTCAATATATGCAAGGTCAAGGTCACTAAAGATTGGTGAAATATCCAGATTTTGTCTGGAGCATATCTCCTACATGTATGGAAGAATTTTTATAATACTTTATGGAAATGTTCACCACCATGATATGTATTGCTCCATGCATGATCCAGGTCTCCAGGTCAAAGGTCAAGGTCACACTTAGAGCTCATTGAAAAACGCTGTTCCGGAGAAACAAAACTCTTTCCCAAATTCATAGGGGTTTTTTAATTTAGAACTTGGGGCACCAAATGTTCAAACCATAGTGAGGCATGAGTTTTCGCATTTGCCAAAAATTCAGATTCCCTGCGGACCAAAGTCCAACGGGTTTACACATAGAGGTCAAATTCAGATTAAAAAAAATTTTTGGGAACAGATGGTTACTTAGGGACCATTAGTCATCATTTATTGATGGTTGTTAGCAAAACATGGTAACTAAATTCCATGACTACAGATGGGGTTACAACATTTAATTTTAAAGGGTTAATAATTTGCCAAAGGTCAATGTCACTTGGAGATGTATTAATAACCAGATTTTTTGTCCCGGAGCATATTTTTCTACATGGGATGGAGGAATTTTAATGTTTTCTTTTTATTTAAAATTGTTTCACCACCATTGGAGTAGTGCCCTGCACTTAAAACCAAAATCTCTAAAGGTCAAAGGTTTATGTACACAGGGTTTTAAAACTTTATAGAAAAAATTGCTGGAGAAAATTCTACATTTCCAAAAAGAGGGAAATTTTAAATTTTAATTTGGCACAAATGTTCAACATTGTTTAGCTGGTGCCCTGCATTTAAAAATTTAGGGGCCCCCTGCGACCCCAAAGGCCCGGGGCACCCCTTCTTTTGCATTTTCTTCCCTATTGATTTTTTTTAAGGGTTCAAATTTAACAACACCCCGTTTCCCAAAAATAAAAACTTGTTTGCTAGATAACACTTATCCCCTAATGGGCCCCCCTCCCCCATTTTTAAAGGGTTTTTCGTAAACCCAGGTATTTTGTGACTATGGCACCCCGTTGTTTTTGTGTTTTTTGGTCTCTTGGCGGGAGATTTTAATCGTATTTCTTATTAATTTAAAATTTTTTTAAAACAACATAGGCCCTTTCAAAAGCCTTTCCCCCTTTTTTACCCAAAATCATACTTAAAATTCTATTCATCGTAAAAAAGAATATCCCATTCTTTGTCGATTTCTATGAAAATATGAAAATGATAAAATTTTGAATTATAGTGAAAGATTGCACTTTGTCATTATCTTTTTCCTTTTTATCTTATGTATATCTTATACTGCTTCTATGGAAGGAGGTTTTTGATTGAAATTTAAAAATGTCACCTAAATAATATGAATGAGAAAATTTCCGAAACAAAGAAAATTGAGAAATTAAAGCAAGGGAAATAACAAGCATTTGTACTTAACATTTTGTTATACATGTATGTTTTGATTCTGTTAGTAAATTTAAGGTTCAAAGAACCAATGACTTATGAATAAACACGCTTCCTGTTTAAAACAATTAAGTCAATACTATAATGTATAATTTTTATACTTGATATTATCAGATAACTTGACAATTAAAAAAAAAAGAAATACAAGGTCAACAACAGAAAATCCACAGACATATTCGGCGTCCGTACTATTTGTTTGTTTCTAATTTAAAAAAAATGCCATTTCTCATGTCTTAATGCTGAATTTTGCTCAATCTGTTGCTTAGGGGTGAGGAAGGTAACTTGCACTTAACAGTGCCGTCCATGAAAAGGGCCTCGACAGTTTCAGTTTTGCCGTTTTTAGCGTTCTTTTTGGATTCCGTTTTCTCTCGTTTTATGTCAATTGTTAGTATTTTATTGGCTTTGAATTAGCTTCATTACAATTGTTTTGCAAGATATTTTAACCGCTTGACATTTGATTTCAATTATTATATTCAACACGATTATATGTCTTGGCACACACTATTTTATTTTAATTTCGAGTCTTCGGTTTTTTAAACCTCCTTCTTTAATGAAGATATTAGGTCTTTGTTAAGTACTGGAAGTAAGTTAATAAATGTCTTCCTGACTGATGTCTGTCTTTGATAGGGTGATAGGGGGTTTGGAAGTTTGCAGTCAATTTTATTAAAAGTCCGCTGTCTGCTTTATATTATTTATTCTCTGATTTAAATCGTGCTACAAATCTACACTTTTATCTCGACGACTTTTGTGCGGGATAGCTTTTTAGACGAGATGATGATAGGGAAATAATATTAAATTGCTCGTACATTGGTTTATTTACTCTGGCGTTTCAAATTGTTATGACATGAAAAATGTTTTTATTTTTGCATATGATGCAGACAAAAAAAAACAAAATTAAAATACTTATACTTATGGTACACGACATTTTGTACAAATCAGATAGTCTCGTATTTAAATGCTCTTTCTTTTACATATTCGACCTTTTGTTTGTTTTATGATTATTCGTTTTGTTTTATTGCTCATTATAATTTATCTGCAATTAAGCTAAAATAAAAGGACGGTTTCTGTTGTTGCGTTGTTGCATTATAAATTTTAACTTCTTTTTTTCAAATTAGAGGGGAAATATGTCTACCAGTATAGTAACATGATAGCATTCAAACAGATAGCCGTGTAATTTATGTGTAATAACTATACATAACAATATTATGTCTTATAACAGACACCTGAATATAAAAACAAATATATATAGGCCCATGAAACATGAATTAGGAAGTATTCTTTTAACGTAAAACTTGAAAGGGTAAGGAATTTTTTCTAAGATGAAAACAAGACAATCACATAATCTACTTTGTTTTTATTTTTACTTTGTTTCTGGTTTATTTTATAGATGTTTTAACAATAAAAAACAATTATGCATTAACATACAATATATTGAGATATACATTTAAAAGAGGAACAAAATATTTTTAGGATTCTACAAAGATTATAAAGAAAAGAAATTCAATAGCATCTGGCAAATCTTGTAACGGGCTTTAAAGTAGTTATTGTAGCTCGATTGCAAAATAAGTTCTTGCAATTTATATTAATCATTTTCGAGCCTTCCTGGAACCAACCAGTTCTAGTGTCATATGTAGTAAGATGATCAAGATCCGCTTAGAGCTTGAACCTATGATCCCTGTATGGGGAGGCAGACACCTAAACCACTAGGCTACCGCTCATCGTACTTGGACATCGCTTCTCTTGTAAGGTGGAAATCATTATTAATGCCAGACCTATTATATATGTATTCTTTTTAGAATTTTACATTACATATGTACAATCCTACAGAATTTCTTGAGCATAAAGACGAAATCCCAATATAACATAATACTTATTTCTTCTGCTCAGGGAAAACAACTCCTACTATTTTAATAGTGTTATTCAGTTAAGAGTTGTACATCTTGTCATGAAAGTCATAAATGTTTAATGCATAAGTATCACAAAGAAGGAAAAATTTAAAAATGACAAAAAGGGTCATAAAAGTTTTCTAGAGAAAAAAAATAAAAAGGCAGTGGATTTAGTACCCAGGATCAAAGCCTAATTAAATGATCCTAAAACATTAGTCTTGATTTGACAGCAAGGAAACAGACTTGCAGAATAAATTGTCCAACTGTAAAATCCTATTTTCTTTGTGGCATTATATAATTGTGTTTTCAAAAGAAACGCGACATAACTTTTCAAAAATTGAACGCTTTTAATTGATTTTTTTTTAAATTTACATCGGTAAAGAGTAAACTCAACAAAAAGAGTATTCGATGTTGCATTATTTAAGTATTCAATGGCTAGAATAATATCTGTTGATGGGCGTTGACAACTGATCATTTTGAATTTATCCATGATGATTTCATATCTTCCCCAAAAAAGAAGAACTTAACTGGCAACCCCAAAATAAAAGTTCTTTAGTTTCAATAG